AGCCCTGCGGCCATCCAGGAGGGACCCTGGATGGACCCTGAGGGAACCAGCTTCGGAGCGCAGTTGACAGCTGGAGTTGAGGACCACGAGCACAGGGGCACAGGGACAGGGTCACCAGGGGACTCCTAGCCCCTGCCACGTACCCCCACTTCCCGTCCACCGGCCCAGTCCCGGCCATTCCGGCGCCCTAGCCCAGCTGCGCATCCTTCCCGCAGACCCTGCTCCCGGGTTCCTGTCTTCAGGCCATCCGCAGGCGCACCCCTTCCTTGTCCGTCCCTGCCCTCCTGAGGCTCTCACCCTCTTCTATGGTCCCGATGCTGTCCCCCCCTTCAGCTCCTGCCACCAGGAACCCGTACCAGAGCCGCCATCTCCACGTCCGGCTGCCTCCTAGCAGGCGTCCTTCCATGGGTGTCAATAGGTCTGGCCGCCCACCTATCTGTCCCTCTCAGGTCGGGTCCGTAGCTGATCGTGCCCAGCGGCTGCCGCTGCCTGCCTCTCCTGTGCCTGTTGTGCATTCTGGGGACACCGGTTCTGTCCTGCCCGAGGTGACCACTCCCCAGGGCCCTTGGTCGCCTCTCTGTTCCATGAGCCTCCCTTGCACGCTGACCTCTGCCTACCAGAGATAGCTCTGCAGCCACTGCAGGCTTTCCTGAAAGGACTGGATCAGTGCCCCAAACTAGAAGTTCCCATCCCTTGGGGAAATCCTATTTTGCACAGCTCACAGCTCGTGCCAGCATTTCAGAACTGGGGAGCATTTCAGAACTGCCTCAACCACCGGAAAGTGATACCCATCTTCCTCTCCTCTTACGGTCTTTTCAACAGTCAGTTAAATCACAAAATCAGAAAGAGTTAACAGGACTTTTCCAACAAAGCAAGGTCAACATGCAGCAAACACTCCCAGAATTTGATCAGAATGACTGCATGTGAGAGAGTTTGGAAGGAAAGGGACTGTTTCTTATTTTAACTCCTGAAAATGGAGAAAGAAACGTTGAAGCAAATAAAGTTGGATCCATTCCCTCAATCCATGTATAATGAATTGAAGACAACATCTTTCCCAAACTTCACATAGATAAAAAGATTTGTGAACATCTGAATGAGTAGCTTCTTACAGGATGCCTCTAGTGAAGTAAACCCACCCAGCAATACAACATTCTCCCTCTGCTTCCTACAGCTGGAGCAGGAAAAACAACTGATGCTTTCTTCAAGCCAGTTATGCAGAAATTCCTTCATGATGATGCAGATCTCTAAGTCAGCACCCTGTATGCTGTTAGGTTCACTGCTACAACAGCAACTCACCAAAAGGCAAGTTACTCTACATTTCTGTTTACTTCTATGACAAGGAAATTACTGAAGAAGCAGCTTTTGGGGCCAGCATTGTGTCATAGTTGGTAAAACAGCTGCTTGAAACACCAGCATCCCATATGGGTTCCAGTTTGAGTTCTGGCTGCTCTACTTCCAAACAAACTCCCTGTTTATTGGAAATATAGGCAAGGATTAAGGAGAACCAAACAGTACACAGACATTTTCTATGACACCTTGTTACCAGGGTCCTTGTTGGTTTTGTATTGTTGAAATCCTAGTAAAATGATACAAATTCTCTTTGGTCACCTATGGATACAAGGAATGCTGATAAAGAGGGATTCTGGGTGCTCAATGTCCATAGAAGACACCTACAATGATTGCATAGCTTTTTCATCTCTCCCAGTTGAAGAGATGGCTTCAGTGGGAGAAGGAGATTTAAAAGGACTTATAATGCTTTGCTTAAGTTCAGGCTTAGAAAGTCAGGTATGGCCGGTACCGCGGCTCAACAGGCTAATCCTCCGCCTAGCGGCGCCGGCACACTGGGTTCTAGTCCCAGTTGGGGCACCGGATTCTGTCCCGGTTGCCCCTCTTCCAGGCCAGCTCTCTGCTATGGCCCAGGAGTGCAGTGGAGGATGGCCCAAGTGCTTGGGCCCTGCACCCCATGGGAGAACAGGAGAAGCACCTGGCTCCTGCCATCGGATCAGTGCGGTGCACCGGCCGCAGCATGCTGGCCGCGGTGGCCATTGGAGGGTGAACCAATGGCAAAGGAAGACCTTTCTCTCTGTCTCTCTCTCTCACTGTCCACTCTGTCAAAAAAAAAAAGTCAGGTATTCATGTGGGATGTGGGCATACTAACTAGCATGTTAATGACTAGGACAAGCACTCCTAAATTTAATCTTTCAATTTCATTTTCCATTAAGTTTTTGAAGTACCTCCATATGTGTGTATGCTTGTTATATATATACATATATGTGTGTGTGTGTGTGTGTGTATACACATATAAATACAACACTCTCTACAAGTGAATAAAGTTGTATTGTCTTTATTTTTGAATACTACAGGAATAATTGTAACTGAATTTTAGTATTTTGAAATGCAGAAAGAAAGCAAAGAACCATGAGATGAAAATCTTCTTAAGTATCCAATCGAATATCAAAAGTTCTATATGCTGCTACATTTCTATGGTTTTAATGATTTGTGATTCCTTTGAAATTTATTGTATATAGATGAAAGTCATTTACTCTTTGATTATTTTTTATACTCCTTGCCTATATTTCCAATAAACTAATGACCTCTGCTTTTTACTTGTTGAACTCTCTATTTACTGGAGCATTAAGTCCTTGACCACAACGTACATTAAAGATATGTTATCTCAAAAGTGAAGGAAAGAAAGGGAAAAGGGAGAGGGAAGGGGGTTAGGGAAGAAAGAGAATGGGAGGGAGGAAGGGGGGGAGGGACAAAGGGAGGGAATATCATTATACTCTTAAAACTGTATCTGTGAACTATATTGAACCTGTTAAAAACTAAATAAATAAATAAATAAAATTATTTTATTTTATTTTATTTGACAGGTAGAGTTATAGACAGTGAAAGAAAGAGACAGAGAAAGGTCTTCCTTCTGTTGGTTCACCCCCTCAAATGGACACCACGGCCGGTACTGCATTGATCCGAAGCCAGGAGCCAGGTGCCTCTTCCTGGTCTCCCACATTGGTGAAGGGGCCCAAGCACTTGGGCCATCCTCCACTGCCTTCCCAGGCCACAGCAGAGAGCTGGAGTGGAGGAGGAGCAACTGGGACTAGAGCCCGGTGCCCATATAGGATGCCAGCACCACAGGCAGAGGATTAACCAAGTGAGCCATAGCACTGGCCCCAATAAATATAAATTTTGAAGAAAAAATAAAAGGAAAAAATGAAATTGGATCCCTGTTACCCATGCAGGAGACATGAGTTGAGTTCCTAGTTCCTAGCTTTGATCTGACCAAGTATCTGCTGTTCCAGGCATTAGGTCAGGGAAAGGCCCTCCTCTATTTCTTTTTTTTTAAATTTTATTTATTTTATTTGAGAGGTAGAGCTACAGTTAGAGGAAGAGGCAGAGAAAAAGATCTTCCATCATTGGTTAACTTCCCAAATGGCTGCAACAGCTGGAGCTGCGCGGATCTGAAGCCAGAAGCCAAGTGGGTGCAGGGGCCAAAGGACTTGGGACCATCTTCTACTGCTTTCCCAGGCCATAGCAGAGAACTGGACTGGAAGTGGAGCAGCCAGTACTAGAACTGGCACCCATATGGGATGCCAGTGCTGCAGGTGGAGGATTAACCTAATGCACCATGGTGCTGGCCCCTCTATTTCTCAATCTATATCCATCCTTCTCTATCTCTCTGAATCTGAAAGAGAGGGAGAGGGAGAGAGATGGACAGAGAAAGAAAGAGGAAGTCAGGAGGCAGACAGAGGTAACAGCCATAGTAATGTACTCTATTTGATATCAAAGAAAAGAAACCTAAGAAAACATATTGGTTAAATTCAATGTATTATCCTAGGTGAGGTCTTAGTACAGGTAAAGGACATAAGGTTAAAATTAAGAGTTATGAATAAAGCGTGAAGTTTCATGACATCACTAATGTAATTTTTGTATAAATGAGTGCATTAATTATAACAAATTAAGAATACTAAAGTAAGAGGCTAAGTTAGGAGAAACAGCACAAGGGGTATATGACAATGCTCTGTAACATCAGAAAAAATTCATAAAATACAAAAACAATTCTAAGCAAAAATGTGCATACATATGTTTATGTTTAAAAATCTTGGGGCTGGTGCTGTGGTGCAGTAGGTTAATCCTCCGCCTGCAGCAGTGACATCCCATATGGGTGCCAATTCTAGTCCTGGCTGCTCCTTTCCAATGCAGCTCTCTGCTGTGGCCTGGGAAAGCAGTAGAAGATGGCCTAAGTGCTTGGATCCCTGCACCCACGTGGGAGACCAGGAAGTAGCACCTGGTTCCTGGCTTCGGATTGGTGCAGCATCAGCTGTTGTGGCCATTTGGAGAGTGAATAAATGGAAGGAAGACCTTTCTCTTGTCTCTCCCTCTCACTGTAACTCTACCTCTCAAATAAATAAATAAATCTAAAAAGCTCTATATTCTGAACATTAATGCTGAAAACTCACCTTGTACTCTGCTTACTATAATCATGTATTAAGTCAAGGAGTATCATGACCTAGTGATAAAGTGATCTTATAAAACACTTAATACAAGAGAAAAGCTAAATAAAATGGCTCATAAAATTGTTTCCATATAGAAAACTCAAACACAGATTTGTTGTTCATAATATTCTGAGAGTCTACACTCAGGGTCACGCCCAAGTGGTAAAATGTTTCTCACTGTTTCTAGATATTAACACATAGTCACAAAAAGGAAAAAAATAACTCAAATAATCAGATAATGATGCAGACTGGGGGACACACTATGACCAGGAGGGTAAAATTGGAGCTGTATAAACTTCAATCTTAGGTAAGAAGGAGGCAGCAGGCTTGGTATGACTGTAAATAGCTTGGCTGCAGGTGAGAGAGATCTGGCACCATGTGCAGGTCCCTGGGTTGTCAGGACATTTGTGCCTCCATTTGTACAACATAGACATTAATAATCCTGATTCTTTTGAGGTTATAGATATTTGGGGGAATTTCATAGAAAAAGTGAACAGATTCACTTACATGTGATATTTTGTACGAAATGTGAAGTATTCCAGGCTCTGCATGGTGAGGACCCCTGGAGTATCTTAATAGTCTTTCCCAACTGCTTCACCATTTCATCTTTTTAGGATACAAAAGAAAATATTTTGCACAGAGAAATGGCTTATTCCTTATGACTATTTACAGATTTTAGATATCATACCTGGATAGCTAACTAGTAAACTTGATACTTTGGCAACACCTACATATTTTTGTGAGTTTATACAAGTGCAAAAGCATAACTTTTAATCACTGTCTTCTGCAATGAAAATGAAAATCAAACTTACTGTGGAGTCTCTCCCCATTCCCACACCATTC